TTAAATTGACATTATGCGGGTTTCTGAAGATAGGCGAGTTAATTGAGTATGCGATAATATTAATTAACAGTGCAAATACTACTTAATGTGATAATGTAATTCTTAAACTACAGAAATATTAGTAACTAGTTCAGGTTATGCCCTTTATGTGTACAAAACATATCATTATGTTTCTACAACCGTACTTAGGCCTACGAATATAATAAAAGTTCTATCATCTACACTCATTGAGCAAAAATAAATAATATAAGAATCTAATGTTATAATTTCCATAAAAAATGCTTAACGTGAATAAATTTTTATTACTTTCTCAATTGCTTCGTTGATTAATCGTACTTTTGTAGTATTATTGTTAATTTTTAATTGCTTTTTAATTTTGTACGTAGGTAATGAAGCAGGCTGATACATTTTTAATCATTATTTTCTTTGAATAGAGTTCAAAATCGCTTATCAAACTGCTTCACGTTTACATTAAATACATTTTACATTAATATTAACAAAATTAACACAGTTGTTAGATTTATTCATTGCTTATCAGAAGTCACTTAGTGGCGAAATAATAACAAAATACGTTTGATCAGAAACATCATAAAAACTAAATTAAACAATGGACTAGTCGAATGAGATCTTCATACATAATGTAACATCTTACATAGCGATAACTTACATACAAGCTTATAATAATGATTCTAAAATAACTAAAGACGATGTGAAATATCAAATACTTATTCACAATAAAAATGGAGCTCTATAAAAATACATCTCTTCGAATAATCGCATTCATTGCTTTATCATTCTGTGTCTTAACAACCCTACCAATCCTCAAATGAATAACACTTATAACACTATAATAAGATACTTGAAAATTGTGAGAAGAGTAAGTGGTTTTTACGTCACTTTGGAACTGAGAAGTTTGTGAAACAATGGCTGTAGTCCACTGTCCCTAACTTCATTAAGTCGCTTCTTTGTCGCTTTATTTTTGTAGGACGCTCTATTTGTGATATAACGAACTTATGTATAAACTTGTTTCCGTTTTGCGGAAGTGTGTGTAAAGTTAGTGATACGTGCATATTTAGAAATGTATACCTATACTTTAATGGAGTCATTTAAAAAAAAATTGTGGAGTATCATTGTGTACCAATTTGGGGATTGACGTACTTGTTTTTCAAGATGCATCAGGGTGCAGGTTTGAAAGCTAAAAAGGATTAATGCGCTTTTATAGAGACCTGTAATATAAGGAGGAGGAATATATTTTGATGGATCATTTACAATGTAATTGCCATACCTCCACCGTGAGTAAAAAGGCTTTTGCTTAGCGATAGTTATGTATGGCTAAAGTAAGAAATGTAAACTTATTTTAATTAAAAGATATTGGGACTGTTTTTAGTAATTCAATAAATTAACCAGGCACTCAATTTGTCTATTCAAATCCATAAATTATTATTTATTCACGTCCATATTCATGCAAGTTTTTTTTAAAAACGATTGTATTAATTTATGTATTGATGTATTTCAAGGTGCACATAAACTATTTAACATTCGCTATTCACTAGTTGTGAAATTAGTTCTATGCAATAAGAGAATATGGTGTTATCGGCTTAAAACTAATTTTATCAGTGGTATTTGTTTTTAATTGAATTAAGAAGAAATTAATATTAAAAGAAATAAGTTTCTAAGTCCAAATGTCGTTTTAAATTTATTCTTTTAATGGAAGACTTAAATTTATGGCCTTAGGAAAGATCAGAAAACAGAATTAAAAGCTACTCATTGACATTGACACAATGGGCAACAGGTCCACCTTTTCCTTGATGGAAAATGTCGTAATTCGATTTCGAACTTTATAAAATTCGATATAAAGTTGGAAATAAAAAGGTAAATTGAAGTAGGTTGGCTTCACCACCTTATGTCTGTCGTATGGGGGAACCAGGCGCCTAGTGTCTGTCTTCCCAAATTAACAGTTACTAACTAAAGGGAAACTATTGAATTTTAGACATTTTGTATGCTTAATGTGTAGTTTGGATTATATTTATGTTAGATACTTTTAGACTAATTTAAAATAATGTTTTGTTCGTGTTTGAAGAACGTTAATAGAAGTAGTACTTGTATTTGAGCCCGAAAACTTGTGTAAATTAACAAATTGTCAGTTCTTCTCCTTCTAAGTACCAACTTACTCTTTTCACAAATTAAAAATACGACTTAATATTTAAATACGATTGGAACACGTCTGTAGCGGGCGCGGTGTACTTTCTAATGGAAGAATCCTTTCGTTGATTCAAAATTCTTAATTACATTTCATTTCTACAAAATTTTCATTTCAATCATAATTATTTATTCTTGGAAATAACTGTAGCTAGCTTTGCCCATATTTTGGTTTAGTTGCGAAGTGTATAATTATTTTCTTTACTAAGTTAAATTGTTTGGAGCTTAACAACTTTAAAGTTACGCTGTACATTTCTCTTAATTCTGTTCTAGATTTCAACTTTATTGTATTGTTTTAAAGTTGATTTTTTATTGAGGATTTGAATGATTTTAAGGGAGGGTTTGGATTGTAATATTTGATGTGCTGTATTGTCTACATAAACAAAATTTCGTTAAGGGTAATTTTCTACAGAACTAAAAGAAAACAGAACAGTATTAGTATCTTAGTGAGAAGTTTCAAACTTATGAGATCGCGCCTACTTACTTCAGCTGTGCATTGAATATCACACATTTGCGTTTATTTCCCGCCTAAAGTAGTATTTAAGTGAGCGAGTCACTTATTTTTTGTTTATATCTAAAATTATTGTTTTGGATTATTAGATTGTATTGATAAGGAAAAAAACATAAGTGTAGCCAAGTTAAATTTTTTTTATTGATGATTGCAGTGTATTTATTTCGTTAAGTTTAAATTAATTTCTTTATTAAGTATTCGTAAGAATTGACTATTTTTGTGTCCCAACTATTTTTAATTATGTAATTTACCACTAGTTTGTGTTTATTAATTTGATACTTTTGCAAAAAGCTATGAAATTTATCATAAAGTAAATATACTTTTTGTAAAAAGAATAACTAAATATGTTTATTTTTGTAAATATTATGATAATTTTATTCTTTCGTGCAAAGCCAAAAAGAAAAAAAGAAAAATGTTTTCTTATTTCGAATTATTTCAGTTTTAAAATTGGAACGTCTGATTCTAGTTTCATTCGATTGTTTTGAATCTGACAAGATCTTGATTATTAGTGTGTTTGCTATTACAAATCTAATTCCAAGGATATAGGTAGTTGTGTAAGATTATGCGGTAATACTGAACAGTGTTAATCTGTAATTGAATTCCTTTGATCATGTCTTGTAGATAATATAATATGTACTATATATATTAGGCTAGTAATATGCAATTGTATTAATTTAATGTATTTTGAGACCTAAATTTTCACATTCACACACACAATTCACAGAGATATCTTAAATTCCAATTAGGTTATCAACTTGGTCTTCAATTAACGTTATATTAATAGTGCCACGAGTTTTTTTTCTAATTACTCTCACTTGGTTAAGTACGTATGTGTGTAGTAAGTTGTTATTTATTTTTGGGTAGCGCGTCAACTCGCGTCGAAGCCGACAAATGACATATGAAAACACACCACATAGAGATTTTATTTGGAACGATATACACATTTATATCAATTAACACATCTTCTTTGAAGAAAAACATCAATAATTTTACAAGTAGGTAATTATATCACTAGCTTTTGTTTTTTTTTTGTTATTCGATATTCACACACATTGTTATATTGATTACTGTTTTTAGTATTCGAACAAATAATATCTATTGAATATAATTAGACATTTACACAAATATGATTTAGTACAACACCGATAGTTTATGGTAATCGACGGCGTCCCTTGTATGTTGGCGTAGTATTATAGTTTTCACGTGACATTCGTACCCACCCCGTCCAGCGAGCGGCGGTACTCCGGCCGACGTCGGCGCGCCCGAGCAACAGTTTGGTCCTCTCGGGGCGCTACACTACGCTAACCGCCACACGCTACTCGTGCGCCTTACTGCCACTCTACACTCTTTACTTTATTGCTCTCTTTGAACCACAGCTCGACGGTTTCATTAAGTCTCTACGTATCACCGAACTACGACTAAAGTCGCACACCACACCCGCGACGCTAACTTACTTATAATTTACTATGTAAACATTACCTTACGCTGTAACATTGCAGGCTCTTGCCATAAATTGACACGATTACCTCCGTCATTGCCGGACTAATAATTGAAAAAATACGATTCATTTTTATTTACCTTTTCATTAATTTTATCTTTTTTATATTATGGAAAGAGCCATAACGATATTAGGTACATAATATTGCTTATTATTCACTCGACGCCGTCGAAACTACGAGCATCTACCCTATCAAATATCCTTTTGGTAATATAAAGGTGTAAAGAAGTTCATAGAGAAAATGTTCGTTGCATTTGTTGAAGTATGAGCGCAGCTTCACGTCACTCGTCCTCGTCGTCGTCGTCGTCGGAGCGCACGCACGCCGCCTCCTGGTGCTTGTTCAGGTAGCTCTTGAGCGCGAACGACTTGCCGCAGCGAGTGCACTCGTACTTCTTGTCGGAGGAGTGCGTCTGCAGGTGCGCGCGGAGGTTGGACCGGTCCGCGAACGCCTTGCCGCACGACGCGCAGTTGTACGGCTTCTCACCTGTGTGCGAGCGCAGATGGCCGCGCAGCAGCCACGGCCGCGAGAACTGCTTGCCGCACACGCCGCACACGTGCCCCATGCGGTGCGTCAGCACGTGCATGGCCAACGCCGGCATGGACACGTACGCCTTCCCGCACTCGCCGCACCGCTTGGCCGCCACCGAGTCCAGGCTGCGGTGCGTCTGCTTGTGGCGCGACAGATTCGATGAAGTCGCGTAGCGCTTGCCGCACTCATTGCAATCATATTTAGCAGACTTCTCCTTGGCATGTGAAGCCAGAGGCTCGCTGTCTGGTGCTACAGGCGCCGACTCGGGCGTGGGAGGTGGTGGCACAGTGGACGGTGCAGACGGGGGCTGCACAGGCGCGGGTGGTGCGGGCGCGGGTGGCACTGACACAGGCGGCACTGGAGCGAGCACTGGCGCGAGCACTGGTGTGATGACTGGCGCGGCCACTGGCGTGGGTTCTGACGCCCTGCGCTCGTATTCAATTCTGTTAAAATCTGGGCGCGGGTGCAACGGTGGCAGCGGTGGCGGCGGCGGCGGCGGTGGTGGTGGCGGGCCCACCGTCTGGCACTCGACATAGCTGATGTGAGTGTCGACGAACTCAACGGGTTGAAGCGGGGTGACAGTTTGCACCGTGTGGTACACGGGTTCGGGCGGGTCCTCGGCCAGGATGTAGATGTTGGTGGGCTGCAGCGTGTAGGTGTAGACGGGCACGAGCGGCGGCGGGTCGGGCGCGTGCAGCACGGTGACGAGGTGCGCGGCGGGCGGCAGCGGCGGCAGGCTGTGCGCCAGCGACAGCAGCTCGTGCGCCGCCTCCGTGTCCGCCGCCGACCGCTCCGACAGCGGCACGCCCAGCTCCGCATATTCCGTGCGTGGCTCTGCGAACGAAAATAAAGATGCAATCCCAATCTTACACTACAACTTACACATATATGCAAAGTTAGTACGCGACCTAGATATGAGATCATTATTTAGTCAAATCCTATCAATAATTCTAAATCATGCTGAAAAATGGTACACCAATACCATTAAGAATCTACATTACGTGAAAGCAATCAAGCTGATAATGAGACCTAAAAAATTTAACTCCACTTTATCAATCGAGTGAACCTATAAATTAACACTACGAGCTTCTTTTGCTCCTGGTAAATATATAAATGACGAAAATCTCTTCACATAGGGTTGAAAATTCTACACGGCATTAAATATGAATAGTCAAATAATATATTACTAAATCACTATTCAAGCAAAAAATTAATCGACAATTGTTGCACATTAACAGCTTGGGATTTGAACCCAAACCATAAAAATCACAAAAAAGTTAGTCGTCACTCCCGGGATTTGAACCCACTCCACTTATAATCTCTTAAAAAAAGTATACAATAGTAATATAAAAAGATAATTAACTGAAAAAAGTAGCCATTGCACTATGGAGATCGGCAACGCATAGAAAAAACTTTTCGAACAACTGAAAAAGTTTTGAAACTCGCCGCAAGTATAGTCCGCGACGGCCTGAGATCTTCTTGTAGTATCGAAAGGAAAAATACTTTGCAAGTTTACAAAGTTTCCGAACACCGGTCTCGTATCCGAACGCAATAACTGATGCACGTGCAATGCGATTGATAGACAACTGTAAAGTAATTCCCGCCGTGCCGCCGCCCCCAGACCGGCCGACTCCGCCTTTCGTGTGCGCGCGCTTATATAGGTGACCAGGTTATTACACAAACATGGACAGATTTCTGAGTGCACTACAACTACATTTTAATAAACCGACACGCCCCTAGCTAAACTACAACAGAAGTCTTTCACAACATCCTGGAGTTTCCAAGCCCAATTGTGGTCGCCTCACTAGTCGTCTTGTTCTTCTAAGTTTCACAAAACTTTTTAAGTATAAACAAATGCATTGTACTCTTTGTCATACTGAGATATATAAAGCATTGTTGTTTAATATAAGTTTATAATATGGTTTTAGAGTTTCTCTCCCTTGACAATATGACACATTTTTCTGTTGGTGAAGAGAATAGTAGATTAATAACAAAAATTATTGTACTAGAGCCATCCGACAACTTCAACAAAAATCACCGCAAAAACACTCACTATACCAAATACGAAAAAGAGAGTAAAACGAAAATGTTCATGGCTACAGTCCTACAGGTTGCACGATGGAAGCGTCGGCGAATATTCCACGTGATGACGTGACTATGAATACATTGAAAACCACCAATAGCGAGAGTGCGAGAGAAAAACATGGCTAGTATGGTACACCGGGCTTCTGTAACCTAGTTAGCACTACGTTTTCGACTATTCTCACCACTGCCCGGATCATAAATCCAATTGTGTGTAGGTCCCAGTCAAACCCAAATTAATACACGAATTGAAAAGACCCGTGGTCATTTTGCTACCCGTAATCCGTTTTACAATAAAGACGTTGATTAAAGAATAGTTGAAGGATTCTCAAAGTAACTACGTATTGACGTTAGCCTAACGAAGTGGTATTAAGCCCTTCCACAAACCAATCAGTAATGCATTGGTTGCGTTTAATCCATTAGTGTGTGGAATACTTGTGAGGTTTCAACTAGCCTTCGAACTGTCCTTGGGCAATTGAGTGGTTCTAGTATTAGTGATTTACACTGATAACGATTTCAAAACCTGTTTTACCTACTGGCGGCGTGCTTAGGAATGATACACACTGTACTTCGCCGAAATCATAGAGCTTAAAACACAACACTGAATTCCGTCACAGCATATCATCGGGCTACCTAGAAATTTAAATTCTAATTTGAAAACTTGAAAATGGAATACTTTGAATTTAATTAAAACTGAATTTAAGAATAAAATAACCTAACCTTGCGCTTTACAAGTCAACAAGGTTTATTATTGAATGCAGCACGTAATAATACGTTGAGCATTGTCATTCTATTCACATAGTTTATGTTTCTGAATTTTACATGCGAAAGTACGCCGTGTGTATGCCGCTCACACGCCTCAAATAAGGGTACAAAACAGAGAGACTCTATAAATAGTACTTGAATAGTCATGGTTCATACATCAATTCTCTATTTTCTCTAAAAATGGGATATTTGAAATCATCGCCTAGGTGCATATTTTAAAAGGCTCGCGTAGAACAAGGTACTATTTAAGTTGGAGGTTGACTGGAAATGTCACACCGTATCCTTGAGTTTCTTCTAAGCTTGAATCAAGCGTGGACTCAGTACAGGAGGTACTCAATAAGGACAAGGTTTGTGCGTGGGCTACAAAATGTTCAAGGAATCGTGGACATATGAGCCAACATTAAAGTGCTAATAAAAACGTTTACGTAAAAGAACTTTGAAATGCGATATCCATCTTATAATGAACTCTACTCGTTTAGTTTTCCTGCGATAAATTTATAAAAAAGAAATGTTCACTCGTGTCAGCTTGTACAAGTTGCTTTTTTATTTACTTATTTCTTCTCACAAGTACACGTAGAAGTCTTAGCAATTCAAGTACCTACGAGAAATATCATGGAGTACGTAAATTACTATAACTTATTTTTCTAACGAGCTCCTTGAAAAGTTGTTAAAGAGATGCCTAGCTTGTTAGTGCAACTGATAACACTTAAAGCGTAAATAATGTTTTCCACGGGTACAACTAAAGCGGAATATTATGATATTTTGCTTACGATTCAAGGTTACAAAGCAAAAGTTCAAGAGTGCGCAGTGCCAGTGAGTTTATTTAGAATTTTATTTGTTTGTTTGTTTATTTGTTATACAATATATTGTATAATATCTTAACGCTGCCTTATCTTACTCTTTTCTCTAAGCTTTTAAGGATTTACGGATTATTTGATAGTGTTATTCTTTCATGACTACCAAACGTATTAAAATAAAACGATTAGTGCCCACTGCTGTAAGTAAAAGGTTTGAGCATCATAATAGCGATAGATTAAAATTAACAAACAAAACATATTGCTATATGCTACTTTTAATACTGCATTAAGCCGATAGCCACATCATTTTTGTTACAGTAATATTAGAATAAATTCTACTTAATACTTTTGTATTGAAATTATCAAAACGTAGAAGATGGTCGTTCATATCTTACGAAATTATTAGTTTTTGTTTAACTGGCACTATTAAACTTCGTATTTAATTGTCCCTGATGCTATTTCCGAATCTAATTTGGACTTTATTATAAATTATTCTTAAAATGACATACGCACATTTCCCTTATTACACTTGCGAAAGTGAAGTTTGACAACTATACTTGACCAATATCTGTATTAAGCCAGTTCATGCAGTTTTATTTCTGTCTATATTCAACAGGAGCACAAAATATTCGTTCCTTGGAGAGTCAGACAACTGTAGCCCACAACGTTACCGCCCTATGATCAACAAGTATGCAATAGAATCATCCGCCTCACCGCGTTTCTATTGCGAGAGTTTCAAACTTTTTTACTTATAAACCAATCATCGTATACTCGTAATATTTACGCGAAATAAACATTGTTTTTATGTGAATAGAATACTAAGTTCTTGAAGTTAAATATACTATAGCAAGCTGTAGCCAGTACCTAGCTCATAATGAGCGATATTGAATTTCGTTAATTACCGCAGCTCTAAAGAAGTTTCTCCTAGCTGTCAGTTGCTTATTTCCCAATAGATGTTGGTCAAAAATAAATACTAGTTTCGCCAGAGGCTTGACACATCAATAGCGCATCTGACTGAATATCGGAGAGCTGTGAACATTTTTAACCAAAATATTCAAGGAATGCTGGAAAGTCCCATAAACTGGCAATAATGCTCTCATATTTTTACATTATGACAGAGATTGTCTCTATCCCATAACGATAATTGTCTATCAAATCACCACCTGTAAGTGCACACCGCTAAGCAAAGATAGCACAAAAGTCACACGAAAAAGGTTTGTGCATTAACTTAAATCACCAAGCTTGAGATTATCGATTTCAAACGTATAATAAGAAAATTTCGTTTAGGAAACTCTACGCCCTGAGTCAGTGGTGTCTAAATATTCTTAAAAAGTGTAAATGTAATTCGTAAAATATCAAAATAACTTGTCAGGTTTTGAATTTGCAAGCTCACGTTTGTGAAGCGGGCGCCTTGACCTCCGGGTCCGCACAAACCATTAGGTACATCAAGTATCTAATGTTATTATATACAATGAGCGAGTATATAACTAACCATAATAACATTTATTTCATTACAAAGCGTTAATAACATAGTTCACACGATTTGGTATTTTACTGTAATGTAATCCAAAATAGTATTTTAAATTCGAAATTAACTCTGTCTGCCTATCTGTCTTTTCTTTATGCCTAAACTACTGAACCGATTCGTGTGAAATTTGGTACAGACATAGTTTGGAACTCGAGAAAGGACATAAGATAGTTTTTAAACCAAAAATCTGCAGGAAGTCACTATTCCACGCGAACAAAGTCGCAGGCAAAAGCTAGTGTATGTTATAATACATTATCCGAAATCGATAGTGGCCACTAAATATAAATTACAATTACAAACCAATATAGTTAATGTACAATTACAATATTAGTGCGAATTCCGATGATTAACTACGTCATATTCAAATGACCAATTAGCCAATTAGTGTCTAATTATGCGACCGACTAATCAACTGTTTTGATTACAAATTATCTCCGTTATCGGCGATTAGTATTTGTTTGTGTTTATATATATATATATATATTTTGTTATTTAATAAATCGGCAAACGAGCAGACGGATTACCTGATGGTAAGTAATCAGCGCCGCCCATGGACATCCGCAACGGAGGAGTTACGAGTGCGTTGCCGACCTTTTAGGGATTAGGGATTTGGAGAATTAAGGATTGAGGACGGATTGGGGGTGGGGAAAGATTGGGCCTCC